TACCCCATGGTTGGAGGCTGGGGCCCACCCAGACGCAGCATAAGACAGGCCCAGAAATCTAGTTCAGAAAAGTCGGCCGTGGGCAACTTGACGCAGCATAGTTATATGCATGGCAAACAGTCAGAATCCGTAGCAGCTCATTAAGAAAGCCACTGGCTCCCCTGCCCTGGTGCTGACTTCTGTCTCCTCTCCCCACTCCCAGAGAAACTTCATCGCTGTCAGTGCTGCCAACCGCTTCAAGAAGATCAGTAGCTCAGGGGCACTGATGGCTCTGGGGGTCTGAGCCTGAATGCAGCTGAGGCCTGGACACAGCCTTCCCGAGGCCAGGGCAGAAACACCGTCGCCCACAAGGCCAGACCTCCAGTGCGGTCTGGCCAGGACAAGGCTGAGCCAGGCTGGGAGGCCTGGGGCTCCCCACGCCCCCGTGCAGTGACCACTTCCCTGCTGGGAGCTGTCTTGGCCAAGGGTGGCCTGAATCCATCCGGCCACTGCCTCCCCAGACGGCCTCAACCGACGCAGCCTGGACTCCCTGTTCCCTCCCCAGTTTCTCTCTTTGACCTGCGGCCTTGCTGACCCCGGAAGGGGCTCCCTCGGCTTGGGCTTGCTCCTAGTTAGTGTGGGAGGGGTGGGGGTGGGGCTCAGGGTGCGGGGCAGCAGTGGCTGTGGCTGTGGCTGTGGATGGAAGGTTCCAGGTCGGCCAGCAGCAGGGAGCAAGGCTGATCCCAGGCCCAGCTGACGGGGAAACAGAGTGGTCTTTGCGAGGGAGGCTTCCATTCCCCGTCCGCCTCCCTGCTCCAGGCAGATAAGGGCTAACACACACCATCTGGTCTGGGCTGGGTCCACGCCCACCTGCCTTGCGACCACCAACACACAGGAACTCTGCGAAGGAGGGGGCACCCAGCCCAGGCCCAGGGGAGGGGGAGGGGAGAAAGCTGGAGGACCTGGGAGACCAGCCTGTGAGCCTGCCTGAGGGCCAAGCCAGACCCCTCTCAGCCCCTCGGGACCTCGTCCCTGGGGTCACCCAGGCAGGGAGATGATCCCAGAGGATGGTTCAGCAGGCCCAGGATACTCCAGGCATGGCCCTCTGCCATCACCCCCAACCCTGCTCTCCTCTGGGCCTTGTAAATAAATGTACAGGTTGCATGCGGCTGCCTCGCCCGAGTGTGTGCACACGTCTTTGTGAAGTTACAGCCGCCTCGTAGTTGGCGCTTCAGCGTGTCCTTCCGCCAAGTGTGGGGTGACAGACACAGCCCCAGAACTCAGGGTTTCCTCCCGGTGAGAGGGTGCTTTCAGCAACTACATGTCAGTTTTTTAAAATTTAAATCATTTCATTGGGGGCTCATACAACTCTTAACACAATCCATCCATCCATCCATGGTGTCAAGCACATTTGTACATTTGCTGCCCTCATCATTCTCAAAACGTTTGCTTTCCACTGGAGCCCTTGGTATCAGCTCATTTTTCCCCCTCCCTCCCCCTGGAGTGTCAGTTTTAAGAGGCAGATACCATTCTTATTCTAATTTATTCTAATTTGGGGGGAGAGGGAGCATCCCAGAGGGCAGGAGAGCTTGCCTCCAGAAGGGACCAGCCTCTGGCTATGAGGAGCCCTGGGTCAGCAGTGGGACTGGCCTGCGAGGGTGCAGGTCCTCAACACAGTGCTGGGGTGGGCAGAGGCGCCCTCAGGAAGGACCTTGCTGGTGACTAAATAGCACCGAGCACCCACTCCCTCCCCATCGACAGCCCCTGCGTTCACCATGACAGTGTTGTCACGGTGACCTTGCACTCCCCGGGGTGTGTTAGCAGCATTTCTCAGATGTGGAAGGACACCTGGCCCTGGCGCAGGGTGATCTCAATCCATGGCAGAGCCAGCATGCCTGCCTAGAGCCTGCCGGGCGTAACCAACACACAGGCTCTCTCCACAGACTTGTCCTCGAACCAAGACCTTGAGGGTTCACCAGGCCTACCACCGCACCACCCCACCCCACCATGAGCAAGGGTCTGGATGCCCAGGCCCAGATCCTCACCAGGGTCCTCACCTGCACCCTGCCCTGTTCCAGCAGCTGGCAAAGCCTTGGTGGAAGCAGGCACCACGTGGACAAAGTGTGTGTGTGTGTGTGTGTGTGTGTGTGTGTGTGTGTGTGTGCCCAAGGCTGCTCTTTGGGGGCTGGGGGCTTGGGGGAGCCTGGCTGGGGATCGAGGTGGGGTGTGTACTTACGGGCAGGGCCCCTGGGCCGGATCCCTGCACACCCTCCCGCCTGCCACCTGCCAGCTGGGCCAGGCCTGTGGTTTCCTCTGAGCGGTTTTCTCTCGGCCTCTCTGGCCCCCACCCAGGCTGAGCCGGCCACACAGCGTGCTGATGAGGGGTGAGTCACGGAGGTGGGGGGAGGGGCCGGAATGAGGTCCAGCCAGAGCTGAGATCCGGTGCCTGGAATCTGCTGGGGAACCTGCTGGGGAAACCAAGGCCCAAACCAGGAAGGCCTGCCCCATCAGCAGAGACAGCCAGAGCTGGGGCTAGAACATGGGTCTCTGCGTCCCCGGCAAGCACAGGCCTTCCTTTCCTCCGGTGCGATCCGAGGGCGATGGGCACAGCTCTGCTCTCTTCTGCCCCCCTCTGGGCCCAGGGTGACAGCTGAATGACTGGAGAGCAGTGCTCATGCACTACCTTTACAGGTGAAGCTGCAGGCTCACAGAGGAACATCACCTGCCTAGTGGCACATAGCGAATGAAGGTGCTGTGGGCGTCAAGCCCCCCAGAACTATGGGATGGGCTGACCACGGCCTCGGCGGCCCCTTCCCCTCCCAGAGCACACCTTAGGATGCTCTTGCGGCTTCTGTGTCTCTTCGGACTGCCCTGGGACTCGAGACTCAACTTTGCAGATGGAGAAAGGGAGTTAAAAGATTTTGTGCTCTCTGAGGCCCTGAGGCCCACACAGCACATGCAGGTCAAGCCGGGAGGAATGCAGCCTGCGCCTGTCTGCAGACCTGGGTCCCCGCCTGGTGGTCTCACGAGAGCATCTGGCCCTGGTGATGGCGGGGAGCCTGGGGCACTTGTCAACATGGGAGGCAGCCTGTGGGGAGTCTGTGAGTCTCATGGTTGGTTTGGGGCTGCCAAACCTGCAACGTGGTCCAGGCCAAGGCTGGGGGCCAAAGCTCCATCCCGGTTCTGCACATGCCCAGAGTGCTGGGGTATCAGGGATACGGGGCTTGTGCATCTGATGCCCCTGTCCCCCAACTGTGCCAGCACCATGGATCCCCAGCACGGAGCCTATCACAATGCTGAAGCTGTGACCTTCCCTGCAGGCTGCTGTGGCCCCCCGGTGCCTGCCGGAGCCCTGAACCCTGTCCTGCACTCCACTTATGGGCTAAGAAGAGTTAACACCCTTCATGGGACGGCTCCTCCCGCCTGATCCCAGCCCTGATCACTCCCTCCAAGACCATTTCCTGACTCTGGGTCTCGGCCAGGCCCACAGTGACCACCCCCATGGGCCTGGAAGCCACTGACGCCCCATCTGGTTTGGATTACGCCAGGGCTGGTGATGCTGCCTTTTCTTGTCTGGGTCCAGTGGCCTTGAATTCCAGCGGCCACTTTGGGCCCAACAAGGCAGCGGTGGGAAAAGTTTCCACCAGTGGCCTTGAGGGCCACCACAAGGGTGTGAAGGGACCAGAGCTTCCCTGAAGGATGTGCCCACCTGGGCCGTCTGGCTATCCTCACCACCTTTCACCTGCTGGGCTGTCCACACACCTGTTCTCCTGCCTGCCTTCACTCTAAGGGACTGAGTCCCAGGCGCTGGACCAAGTGCTCCCTATGCCTTGCAGGGGCTTCTTCCACGGGCTGTATCTCACAGAGGAAACTGAGGCAAGCCTAGCCTCCCAGCCAGTAAGCAGTGGGTGGGAAGGCTGCGCAGGCTGTCTTCCCATGCACACAATCCCTTCCCGGCACTTCACTGGACCCTCATCTGGGCCCAGCCCCCGAGCACTAGCCTTGGGGATGAATGATTCACAGTCTCTGCACTCAGGAAGCTCACAGCCTCTGGACAGCCCCCCTTCCCGGGGCGTGGACATGCGCAAGGTGCAACCGGGCTGCAGGAGACATTTGCCCCTGCTTGGTTCTCACCAGAGGGAGCGACATCCAAGCTCAGACCAAATAAGGAGCTGGGGTTTTCCAGACCAGAAGTAGGTGGGTCGGGGGGAGTATTCCAGACCTAGGGAACTGCATGTCCAAAGGCTTGGAATGGAACACAAGGGTGTCATGTCCTAGCGCAGGAGGGCTTTTGTGTTCTGCGAGGCAGGAGAAGTTAGCAGGGCCCTCCAACACCACGCTGAGCTGAGGTCATGGGCCATCATGGGAGGGCCTGTGCACAGGAGGGGCAGTGGTAAGCCTGCAGCCAGGGAGGTCAGTGAATTGGGGTAGAGACGGAGAGGCGGAGCCCAAGGGGAGGTCTGTTTGAGGGGCTGTCAGAGCCGTGGGGTCCCTGGGGGTGTGTGCAAATGGTCCATGTGCTAGACTGCTCCTTGAAAGGTGGGCAGTTTGAGTCTAGCCAGGGGCATCCCCGAGGCCTGGTGGTGGACGTGGGCAAGATCGGCGGCCGGCAGCCCCGGGGAGCACAGCTGCACTCTGTCACGCACTCGAGGTCACCGGCAGTCGGGGTCGACTCCACAGAGATGGGTTCTAGGAGCTGTGGGAACGGGGGAGAGGGAGTTGAATCTCCCGTGTCTAAAGGCTTCCTGCTCCTCTCGGAGCTGGTCAAACAAGGTGATCCCAGCACCTGTTTCCCGGGGCCAAGGTGAATGTTGCAGAAGGTGATGCAGGTGAGGTGTCGGGTCCCCCCTGCTGAGCTTGTTCCATGGTTTCTTGAGCCTCTACCTGTTTCTGAGGCTGTCTTCAGTGGGTAAGCAAGCGGTGAACAGAACAAGCAACCGGCCTGCCCCGCATGGAGCGTGGAGGCCCTGGTGGTGTGGGGGCGGGAGGGGAAGAGGAGGGCAAGAAGTGCATCTTGACTGTGTCAGGGGTGGGGAGTGGGGTGGATGGAACAAGGCGATGGGTGGGAGGGAGGAAGGGAGGAAGCCCTGCGGGTGGAGGGAAGACTGTTCCAGGCGGAAGGAACAACGGGTGCAAAGGCCGTGTGACTGGAGGGCCGGGAGCTGATGTCATCACATGGTCCTGCGGCCAGGCGCCAAGCTCTGCGCTCTTACGCTAAGGGAGCCCTGGAGCCCTGGGTGGGTCTTCAAGGTCTGGTCAATTGTGAGTGGGTACGTGGGTGGCCCACGCAGTAAGCTCCATTTC